CTAGTTCAAAAAGGTAGGGTAGGACGAAAAACTCCATCTCAATTTTTCCTCCAACTTCAAAATTGTCCGACATCGTTGTTTTACCTTTTTTCTTTGCACTTTCGCTTTGTAAACACAGGGTGGTACTTCCTCCTACGTCCCGCGTGACCTTTCCAACGTGACTATGTAATGCGTGAAGTCCAGTCGAGCTAGTGCAAGACCAGCATTTGTGATTCGTATAAATGATTATTTAAAGAAAATTACAGATAGTTTCGCTAGATAAGACCCTTATTCCTCGGCTGGGATCGTGTAGCCCTTTGAAGCTGCAATAAAACTCCAATTTGGACCTTCAGCCCCTTGGCCACCATTGAAGCTCATTATATGGAGAAAAATCCTGGAATGTTTTCCTCAAAAACCTTAATTTCTTTGTGACTGAAGACAGAAAGACATGAACATCTTGGATGACATAGGGGTGAGTAAATTATCAGGATTTTTTTTATTCTGGCAGTGAACTAATCGTTTAAGTATTTGGTGTTATTTGATAAACACCAAAGTGGTTTTAAAAAAAAAAAGGAAAAAAGGAATAGAAAGTGCAACCTGGTATGGTAAAAGCTGTATTTCTGTTGTTCCTCAAGCACCACCTACTGTCAAAGAATGAACTTTCATATTTATGCAGCCCGTCTGCTGCTTTTGTTCAGATCAAAGTGAAAATCTGACTGAACTTTTATGTGGCAAATGCGGTGTTATAAAACTTAACTGGTCAATGAAAAATAAGCTAATGTGCGCTCTAAAAATCTAAACCATTCGGAAATTAAGAGATCAAGAATTATTCACATATTTTAAGTGCCCACGATAACAATACCGTTCATGTTTATTACTGTTGTTACATTGGCACAGCGTGTCTTCAAAGCGGTCAAAGCAAAGTGCCAAATTAAACCGATAAGACAGTAAGACACTACATTATAATATAGAAAAAATATGATCAATACTCTTAAGTTAATGATTTTATGATTCACTGATAAACGCATGTTAAATAAATGATTAATTGATTCACTAAAACAGAAAATATACTCACACTTATTGCCAGTTAACAATGTAACTTGCAACGGGCCCCAGTGAATGAAGCTTTTTGGTGGTCAAATTGAAAACACTCGACTCACCGAAACGAATCAAATCCTAATCGCCAGAATACAGCTGATTGTACTGTAAAATACGAAAAAGCAATTCACCCACACCGTTTAATCTACTTAATGTTACCGTTACAAATATGTGTAATTACCTATTTAAATAGATTAAGTAGTGTGTGTATATATATATATATAGCATAAATATATTATTGTCTTCACTACATTGTCATAGCAAAGCCTTATAGTTTCGACTCCATACTAGGGTATGTCCTTCCTTGAGCTTAATAATAAATGTAGCTCATTTTGATTTAGCTGAACATATTAAATTCTGACATGTTTAATAATTAGTGCTGCCATGGTAGAGTTTAGAAATACAAACAGCAGAAACACAACCAATACTTATTAATTCATTTAATATACAGTAGCATTTTCAGACAGACGTTATAAAAGACTGATGACCATATCCGTCTGCAACAGTATAACATTTAAATATAAAGTTACAAATCCAAAACAAGGCTATTAAATAGTCCAAATGACCATACCGCTGACTGCTCAGATCTTATCCAATGCTGAAGAAAAGAAAAAAAAAAATGGCAAAGACTAAATAAGCGCACAGAGATCAGTATCTGTATTTGGTTGAGTAATCTTTAGGGGACACTACGAGACCTCGGCCTTTTCTCGCCCCCCTGTAGACGGTCTCAACAATGTCGATCATCTCTTGCTTGTCTTCCATGGTCCAGTTTATCTTGTTGTTGTTACCAGTGCCAAGATCAATCATGATATGCTTACTCCTGAGACAGATAAGCAAAATCAGAAATAAGTGTTAGCATAAATATACACTGTAAAATGGGCTGCACGATTAATCGCATGCGATATTTAACGCGCATCTTATCATCGCATGCGATTAATCGTGCAGCCCTACTGTAAAACTAGAACAACCATTAAGGAACTGACTAATGGTAAATCAGAGCTTGTTAATCCACAATACTTAAGAATTTGTAAAGTACTCCACTAGGTGGAGACAACTCTACATTCTGCGCTTATGGGCAAAAAAAGCAAGCAAGAAGTCTAGAATGTTCCAGAGAGCTGCGGAATAGTGTTTGATACAACAGAAATTTATGATATAAAAAGTAGGGATGGGCTCTTATTTTATTTTCGATCCGATACCGATATTTTCAAGCCCAGTATCGTCGATATCGATACTTCTAAACTAAACTGATCTTTTAAATTATTAAAAGAATATATAATCAGTAATTATACTCACTTAATATTAGATATTAAAGCCGTGTTTTTTTTACATTTCATAGTAGTGCTGGGCGGTAAAGGCTGCACTTATTTGAAAAAAAAAAAGAAAAAAAAACGAAAGCAGCAATATTGAGAAATATATCAATTTATAGTAATTAATTTTTATTTTATTTTTTATATAGTAACAATGTTATGTACTGTAATGTAATAATGTGGCAATGGTTTCTGAAGATCTACTTGCGCTTCTGATGCTTTTGGGAAACAGCCCTATTTGAACAAGCACTGTGAGCCATGTGTCAGCAGCGAACACTGTCTGTGATTGATTGATTGGTTCTGTCTTTCAGCATTTAATGTGTGTTCCGATGAGCAGGAGAATATATCCAACACAATTATTCGCTAATATAGTCTATTTTTCCACTTAGAAGCTTATTTTATGCACCGAATTTCTTGATAAGTAAATAAAATTAATGGTTAAAAAATGCCCTTATACTCGATATTTTTATGTGAGGATCGATCCTTTCGATACAACATCAGTTTCGAAAGTATCGATACTTAAGGATCGATCCGCCCATCCCTAATAAAAAGTGAGGCACTTATCCAACACAATTATTCGCTGATATAGTCTATTTTTCCACTTAGAAGCTTATTTTATGTACCGAATTGTGAAATTTATTAGTAAATAAAATTAATGGTTAAAAAAAACGCACTGTAGAATCTATATTTTTATGTGAGGATCGATCCTTTCGATACAACATAAAGTGAGGCACCATTTCAAAAGACTTTCCACAAGACTAATATGATACAATCACTTACTAACCTTGTCTGTGCAAAGTTACATGCAGTATTATGTCTATCAAATTTAAACATCGTTATAAGCCAAAAAACCTTTTAATTTATGCATGATAGTCGCAAAGCTACAAGACAAGGCCTTCCTACCTACAGAAAAATTAAGTGCTAAAGATATTTTCTATGGTAATTTGCAACAAATTAGTATATCAATAGAGTGAGTATATATATATATATATATATATATAAATAAAAAAAACAACTAAAGCAATAATATTTAAATACATGGATTATAAATTTTTGGGTTGAGTATCCTTTAAAGAAATTATCATGTTGAACTGCTGAATACAATGGATAAATTGACCTGCTGTAGTCATTATACTACCTGAAGACTTACCTGAAAAAGAACATGACTGTGCAAGGATCATACAACTCATACATCTTGTTGAAATCTGGCACTTCTGTGATATCCACAAGATAAATGACTGCAAAATTCTTCACCTGAGGAAACACGTGATATTAGACATAAAACATTGATAGACTAACACTAATATACATAATTATTCCCAAAGCATTGGTGTCATGAAAGATCAGCTAAACATATTCATACACCACATAATAGCTGATCTGACGTGTTCACGTTCAGTTCGGTGGTTGAATATTAGGACGCTGTAATACCTTTTCGGCGATGCTGTACAACACTTCATCCATTTTCATACACGTAGGGTCCCAATCGTGGCCAAATCGTATAACAATCACACGGTCTTCCTCTGATAAAATAGCCTGGTCCACTTGCCAGCCATTGTGAAGATGAGGGAGCATGTACGACATTTTGAGGGATATCCAAACACACTTCTAAAAAGACACACGAGGTTGTCGTCAAATTCATTTGCTTGAGAACCGCACGCATTGTTTTACTAAACTGTTCAAACGTTATAAAAAGGGGTCTTATCTAGCGAAACGATCGGTCATTTTCTTAAAATAATACAAATGTATATATGTTTTAACCACAAATGCACGTCTTGCACTAGCTCTGCGATGGGCGTCCATAAACTCACGCATTGCCTAATCATGTTGTAAACGTCACCTGTGGTTAGCTCTTCGTCTGTGTACTAGTTCAAAAAGGTAGGGTAGGACGAAAAACTCCATCTCAATTTTTCCTCCAACTTCAAAATTGTCCGACATCGTTGTTTTACCTTTTTTCTTTGCACTTTCACTTTGTAAACACGTGGTGGTACTTCCTCCTACGTCACACGTGACCTTTCCAACGTGACTATGTTATGCGTGAAGTCCAGTCGAGCTAGTGCAAGACCAGCATTTGTGATTAATAGAAATTGTTATTATTTAAAGAAAATTACAGATAGTTTCGCTAGATAAGACCCTTATTCCTCGGCTGGGATCGTGTAGCCCTTTGAAGCTGCAATAAAACTGCAATTTGGACCTTCAGCTGTTCAGATCAAAGTGAAAATCTGACTGAACTTTTATGTGGCAAACGTGCAGTGTTATAAAATTTAACTGGTCGATGAAAAATAAGCTAATGTGCGCCCTAAAAATCTAAACCATTCGGATATTAAGATATCTAGAATTATTCATATTTTAAGTGCCCACGATAACAATACCGTTCATGTTTATTACTGTTGTTACATTGGCACAGCGTGTCTTCAAAGCGGTCAAAGCAAAATGCCGAATTAAACCGATAAGACAATAAGACACTACATTTTAATATAGAAAAAATATGATCAATACTCTAGGTTATTTTATGATTCACTGATAAACGTATGTTAAATAAATGATTAATTGATTCACTAAAAAACAGAAAATATACTCACACTTATTGCCAGTTAACAATGTAACTTGCAACGGGCCCCAGTGAATGAAGCTTTTTGGTGGTCAAATTGAAAACACTCGACTCACCGAAACGAATCAAATCCTAATCACCAGAATACAACTATGATTGTACTGTAAAATACGAAAAAGCAATTCACCCACACCGTTTAATCTATTTAATGTCGTCTTTACAAATATGTGTAATTACCCATTTAAATAGATTGTGTGTGTGTATATATATATATATAAAATTATTGTCTACACTACATTTTGTCATAGCAAAGCCTTATAGTTTCGACTCCATACTAGGGTATGTCCTTCCTTGAGCTTAATAATAAATGTAGCTCATTTTGATTTAGCTGAACATATTAAATTCTGACATGTTTAATAATTAGTGCTGCCATGGTAGAGTTTAGAAATACAAACAGCAGAAACACAACCAATACTTATTAATTCATTTAATATATAGTAGCATTTTCAGACAGACAACGTTACAAAAGACTGATGACCATATCTGTCTGCAACAGTATAACATTTAAATATAAAGTTAAAAATCCAAAACAAGGCTATTAAATAGTGCAAATGACCATACCGCTGACTGCTCAGATCTTATCCAATGTTGAAGAAAAGAAAAAAAAAATGGCAAAGACTAAATAAGAGCACAGAGATCAGTATCTGTATTTGGTTGAGTAATCTTTAGGGGACACTACGAGACCTCGTCCTTTTCTCGCCCCCCTGTAGACGGTCTCAACAATGTCTATCATCTCTTGCTTGTCTTCCATGGTCCAGTTTATCTTGTTGTTGTTACCAGTGCCAAGATCAATCATGATATGCTTGCTCCTGAGATAGATAAGCAAAATCAGAAATAAGTGTTAGCATAAATATACACTGTAAAACTAGAACAACCATTAAGGAACTGACTAATGGTAAATCAGAGCTCGTTAATCCACAATACTTAAGAATTTGTAAAGTACTCCACTAGGTGGAGACAACTCTACATTCTGCGCTTATGGGCAAAAAAAGCAAGCAAGAAGTCTAGAATGTTCCAGAGAGCTGCGGAATAGTGTCTGATACAACTGAAAATTATGATATAAAAAGTAGGGATGGGCTCTTATTTTATTTTCGATCCGATACCGATATTTTCAAGCCCAGTATCGTCGATATCGATACTTCTAAACTAAACTGATCTTTTAAATTATTAAAAGAATATATAATCA